AAAAATCGCACAACACCTTAAGCAATTGGTAAAATTGAAAAAAAAATTTGTAAAGTCCAGCTCACACAACAACTGAAGTTGTACATAAGTCGATGGGATGCGATTTTTCTAACAGAATTTTCTTCAGCGACGAGGAGAATTTTTCTCACTCGGGTGAAGAGAGGCTAAAAACTTCTTATCTGGTGCGCTCTTTGGTCCGGCGTGACTGTCACTGTCATTTCGGAGCATTATGGTCGTTTTACAACCCAGGGGCCTGCTTTTGAATAGTACGTCTTGTCATAATATGTGGTTTCAAAAAGGTGATGGTATATGCCACACAATCCAGTGAACATGGCTACATTTACGTTTCTTTTAATAATATATAATATAATCGACAGCTCAGGTCCGCTCCAAATTGTCAATGCATTAAAAAATACACCCGCATACTACACAATTTAGTTCAAAAATTTCAAAAACTAAGAGACTAGTTTGTCTTCAAGCAGATGGTAGGATGGACGGATAGACAAACAGACAGACAGACAAATATACAGACTGACAGAAAGACTGGCAGACAGGTAGACGTGCCAAAATCAACTCTGCTCGACTTTCTGATCCGATCGCTATAAATTTATATGCGTTGTTACATACTTCAGACCAAATATCATTACCAATATATCAGTTGATATTCATGAAAGGCAACAGCCTCATTAGCCGAGTGGTCAGCATTACGAACTGACATCCGGTTGGTCAGAGTTTGAGTTCCGTTTCGACCAACATCAAAAAAAAAACTATTAAAAGTTTCTAACTGCGAACATCCCTTTGGAGGTATTCTAAGCCCTGCGAGTGTATTTCTAGCATAAAATAGAAAATTTCTCATAAAAATCTATCAACCGTTTGGAGGCGACTTATTATGAACCGTAGGTCCCTACATTTGTTGGAAAAACATGCGTCTTAAGGAGGAGAAGGAACTCGACCTAGGTGTAGTAAAAAGAAATCCATTATTTTTGCATAAAATTGAAGGCTTTAAGTTTTGCTTTTCGTATTCAGCCTTATTCAAATGGTTCCAAACGGTTTTTTGTGTAATCTTTAGCTCTTGGGCAATCGAAAAAGTGCTTACATGATGGTCGGAATCGACAATGACCATGATTTTATCGACATTCTCTACAATTGGTTTTCCACTCCGTGAAGCATCTTTTACATCAAAATTACCGAAATAAAACCGGCATGAAACCGAAATTATGCATGATTGACTGTAACAGTATCAGGACCATAAATGCTATCGAAGAAAAACTACTGTCCATCTCTTTGTTAGTGTCCACCTTTGACGAACGCTCAAAAGAAACTGAATAAAACAAGACACAAGACTGGCAGAAAATTTTTTTTAGTACGAAATGTCTTTTTTCTAGCGCCTTCTAGTTGAACCCAATCGAACGTATACGACAACGAATTACAGATAAATAACGCCTTCTATTGGATAAATAATGGATTACCTTTTACTACACCTAATATATGTATATATGCATTTCTTAATACCATTTCTCGAACACCATATCAAGTATAAATTATGGAAATGCGAAGGTTTTATCTGTGTAATGTCAATCAAATGTACATATATACTGTCGATTTAAGTAAGCTGCAAAAAAATAGTCCGAAACGAAATCATTACCAAACAAACAATTTTTTCGGCCGGTAAAAAAATTAAGCAGCTCATTGCTAGCCTGACCAAGAAAAACAATGCGACCATGGAAAAGAAGTACAAATTGCACATATTCGGCATATTCAAACGCACCTACGTATGTATGTATGTATAGCTGTGTGATGATAATTTACTTCTACATGCTGGTGTTAATGCACTTCAAAATACGTTATTTGGTCATTATGACCGGCGGTGGCCATTTTGCAGCCTTGATACAGTTTTGTTTGACACCTTTGGATTTAACATTGAAAGATAAAAATGTTCAAAAATCGTTTAGTTCGATTTGTAATCTGGCTGACTATTAAGGAGCTAATTATGTATCAATTGGAAATGTGGATTAGCAAACGACAGGCGAATAATTTACAGGTGGATATGGATATTTGTACAAGTCAGTATGTACACGTATGTATGTATGCATAAGTAGCCATAACATGTCACTGACCAAATGTGAATGGGATTTTTTGCACTTCATTTAATTATCATGATAGATTTTATTTTGGGATATGTAGCAAGTGCAACTGCATAATTAAGTGCTTAATTGGCGCCAAAAGGCAAGCTATGCATTGCGGTATGAGTACTTCGAAATATTGTTTTTAAAAAGTGCAGCACGAAATTTTTATCGTCGATTAAGACTAATAGAGCTTAAGAGATTTTGGATTACAATGCTCTCTGCTTTCCCCTCATTTATATCGAGAGATTAGTCCAAGGCAAGTTTTAAAGCACATCGAAGACATTCCAATCGATTCCAATCGGTTGAAGCATTTGGAAATGCTATTCTCAAAGCAGATATTAAAATAAATTTTAATTATATTTCTACCCGCAGCGAGATGCTGTCGTTAATGTTAAATTGTTAATAGAAAATTTGGAGTCCTTAACAGAAAATGATAAATCTTTAACAGAAAATGTTACATAGCCAACAGAAAATCTTAATCTTAAGAAAATGTTAAATCGTTAACAAAAAATAATAAATTGTTAACAGAAAATGTTAAATCGTTAACAGAAAATGTTAAATTGCTAACATAAAAGGTTAAATCGTTAGCAGAAAATGTTCAGTCGTTAAGGGAAAATGTTGAATCTTAACAGTAAATGTTAAATCCTTAAGAGAAAATGTTAAATCGTTAACAGAAAATGATAAATCCTTAACAGAAAATGTTAAATCGTTAACAGAAAATGATAAATCGTTAGCAGAAAATGTTAAATCGTTAACAAAAAATCTTAAATCGTTAACAGAAAATGATAAACCGTTAAGAGAAAATGTTAAATCGTTAACAGAAAATGATAAATCGTTAACAGAAATTATTCAATCGTTGATCGAAAATGTTAAATCGTTAACAGAAAATGTTGAATCGTTAACAGACAATGTTCAATCGCTAACAGAAAAGGTTAAATCCTTAACAGGAAATGTTGAATCTTAACAGTAAATGTTAAATCGTTAAGAGAAAATGTTCAATCGTTAACAGAACATATTCAATCGTTAACAGAAAATGTTCAATCGTTAACAGGAAATGTTGAATCGTTAACAAAAAATATTAAATTATTAACAGAAAATGTTAAATCCTTAACAGAAAATGTTAAGTCGATCGAGATAAAATGTTAAATCGCTAACATAAAGGTTAAATCGTTAACAGAAAATGTTCAATCGTTAACAGGAAATTTTGAATCTTAACAGAAAATGTGAAATCGTTAACAAAAAATATTAAATTGTTAACAGAAAATGTTAAATCGTTAACAAAAAATGTTAAACCGTTAACAGACAATGTTAAATCCTTAACAGAAAATGTTAAGTCGTTAAAAGAAAATGTTAAACATTAAAATTGCAAGCAGCCATTTTAAAATTAATGTTAGTGTTGAGCTTGGACGGTTTTAACATTGACAATTTCGATAACATGGCGAAACTTAGCCTGCACTTGGTTTCTTTATATCTCTATTATCCCAGTGGTTAATAGTGCGTACTAGCCTATGTGGAGGGTCAAAGATTCGAACCCTGTTAGACAAAAAAAAATTAATAAGATAATTTTATAAGCGCGATAGAAATTCAACCAGTGCATTTTTGGTTAGAGAGGTTATAAAACGCCAATCATATATATTGGATGAGTGCATAAGTTCGTGCCCGATTTCAAGTGCAAACTAAAATTGAAATTTTTTGAAGAAAGCGCTTTTATTAATCAATTATGTATTCGCCATCATGTTCGGCAATCCACTCCCAACGTTCAACCAATTTACGGATGACTGATTCATCGCGCGGTTTCTCGTTGAAAAAGGTGTCAAGGTGGTTTTTGACGTCTTCCACATTTTTAAATTTATTCCATTCAAATTGTTCTGCAGCGATCGAAACAAATGATAATCAGAAGGTGCAATTTCGGGTGAATATGGGGGATGCGACATGATTTCCCAATTCATCTCCTTCAGTTTGGCCAGGGTCGGTTTTGCAACATGTGGCCTGGCGTTGTCATGATGGAAAAGAACTCCTTTGCGATTGGCCAAAATCGGACGTTTTTCATCAATTGCTTTCTTCAATTCGACCAATTGCTGACAATACTTGTTGGCAGTGATTGTTTCTCCAGCTGGCAAGGGGTCAAAATAGATCACGCCTCGGATATCCCACCAAATGCACAGCAGTACCTTCATCGGATGCAATCCACCTTTCGACATCGGTTCCGCCCCTTCGTGTGCCTGTTTCCATGTTCTTTTGCGTTGAACATTGTTGTACAGGATCCATTTTTCATCACCAGCCACGAGCCGATCCAAAAAAGGTTCGTTTTTGATGCGTCGAAGCAAAGAAATTGCTGTTGACATAAGGTCCACTTTGTTTTTTTCACTCAACTAATGTGGCACCCATGTATCGAGCTTCAAAGTGTACCCAACCTTTTTTAAACGACGAAATGCAGTTGATTTATTGACGTTCAATTCACTGGCAACCTCTTCCGTCGAAATACGTGAGTTATTCGCAACTAAAGTCCTTAGAACATCGTCATCAAGCTCAGAAGGCCATCCACTGCGAGGTTGATCTTCGAGGTTAAAATCTTCAGAACGAAATTTCGCAAACCATTTCTTTACTGTGCGGAGTGCTGGAGCACGGTCCAAATAAACTTTGCGAATTTCTTTAGTTGCAGCGCCTACTGTTTTTCCTTTGCGGAATTCGTATCAACTCAAATCAAAATGAAGTTATTTTATGCTTGATTTACAGTTCTGACTGTCACCATTCCAACGATATATTATATTATATATAATATCCAGTCAGCACTTAAATCACCATTACATATAAGTAAAAAACAATAATAATAAATTATTAACAGTCTTGTGCATTCTTCATATGTCTCCGCAGCTCTTTCTACTCCATATGGATGAGATCACAGCAATTTGTGCAAATGGAACCGAAGCTGTTGCACCAATCGGCTGTTCAAGTATTATTGTAAACAATGAGAGCTCGGTGAGTATATATGTACATATGTACATATGTGAAAATTTTGATGGAAATTTCCAATTTCCAGCGTATAATCGCCCACACCGAAGATGCACTGACAGCAACACTAAATCATTATTATTTTGTGGTGGCCCATATTATTAGTGATACGCCGCAGGGAAAGCATAAAGTTAAAGAGGAGCGTTTCATGTCACTCTGTTATGCTGGCCATCTACCCGGCTACACGATGAACTACAATCATCACGGTTTGGTATTCACAATAAACACATTGTCGGCGTTGCATTTGCGTAGTGGCAAAACACGTAAGAAAAATCAATTCATTTTCCAGAACACACATTAATATCATAATGGCGGAACGAGTTTTTATTTTTATTTAAAAATCCATCCTACAGCTCGCCACTTCATCACACGCGCTCTACTCAGCGCCGAAAATTTCGAGCAAGCACTTGCTGTGCTCAAGGATGAGGGTGTCGGCGCCGGTGATGGTTGTTCCATAAATATGTCTTTCATAAAGTAAACATCTTTTGCATTGAATTTATATTGAAATTTTAAATGTGTAATTTTCTTATGGATTTTTCACTTCAGTGACGAGTCTGGCAAATGCTATAACATCGAAATGGCACCTGTGCTGGAAGATGCCACGATATCACAGCTCGATATCAAAGAGATCTGTTGTGGTGGTCACAATTGTCATGCTAACAGGTGAGCGGATATGATTTGTATAATTATTTAATTAACAGAACCGACTACCTACCTCTCATGGAACAACGAAGGACACTGTAAGGTGGATCAATTCGCTAGGTAAGGTACGACCAAAAAGATTCTTCACGATAAAGAACGCATAGCTATGCCTTTTGCCACTTGCAACTGTTTCTCGAGGAATTTACATGTGAACAGTGGGGATACAACCTTTCGCAAATACAGGCCGAAAGGGTATAAGAAGACATCACGAAATATGTACAACTTAAAAAGAGCGCACATGTCCAAAGTAAAAGGAATTCTGCCAGGCTACAGTCTTATAGGACGACACGCGGAAAGTCTAGGGGTTCGCTATACAAGATGCTGAAGAAACTGCAAAAATGATGAGGAGCAGGAAACGATCAACTATCTCTTATGCGTTTGTAGTGCTTTAAATAGAGCTATGTTTCAGAACTACGAGGCCTTATTGATAGGTAGAATATCTATATAGATAGGTATTAATGCTTATCAGAGAATCAAAATTTGTGGTTATAGAAGCCTGATCGTCAAGTTTATGTAGCATCAAAATGGGCCTAAGTGAAATTGATACGACAGATCGGTAGCCACAACAGCCTAACATAACCTAACCTAACCTAATCTAAACTAATTAATTTTTAAATACAAAAACATGTAAATAAAAACGTAACTTTTTTCAGATACGAACGCTTGAGCACCAAAGAAGCCAATCCATGGTTGTTGGCATCGAGCCAGTCACGCATGAATACCTTCGCCGACTATCCACCTCCAGCCTGTAAGGATGATGTCACACAAATGTTGGGCGATTGTAGTGGTGGTGAATATTGTGTATTCAATGAAAATGATTCATTGGATGAACTCGTCAAGACAATTGCTGTGGGTGTTTTTGATTTAAATGCAAAAACCATTGCCTTATATTCTGATAATCCCAATAAGACTAAACCACACTGTGTATTGCCGTTAATACTCAAAGAGAACTAAATATTATATGCATATGTGTGTGACTATGCTTAAAATATTGTACATATATGTATGTATTTATGTAGATACCTTTAGAAATTCAAATATATGTATTATAACATAATTTATTCATCCAAAGGAAAATCTGCAATTAAATAATGTACTTACATATAAAAAAAATAAAAAATAAAAATAAAAAATAATTGTCTTTATTTATTATTATATTTATGTATATACACGTACATATAAGGGAAAGTAGTTGTGTTCGGTGCTCTGATGTTACTGCTCATCAGAATTTCATTCTAACTGTATTTTGCATGCTCAACCACGTTCTGTGAGATAAAAAGCCAGACACATTTACAACGAGAGAGCATATATTTGGCCTGAGCCTACTACAAAAAAAAAACTGATTCAAATGTGACGTTTCGTGCTTTGAAACAGAGAAACATTTCTCACCCGGAAGATACGTAAATAAGCAACAAGAATATTCAAATAATTGAAGAGACCACCAAAAAAACTTACTGTCTGGTGAGCTCTTTTTGGGCCGGAAGTGTGATTGGACCTAACAACGGCGGTACTGTCACTGTCAATTCGGTGCATTATGGTCGTATGACAACCGACTTTTTTTTTTGCCCGCAATTGAAGAACTCAACTTGGACAATATGTAGTTTGAAAGAAAATGCTGCCACATGCCACACAACTTGAGGTTATATGTATCTTTTGCGAGAGAAACTTTCCGTCCGCGTAATCTCTCGTTTTGGCGATGTCAACTAGTCAACAAGCTACTGAAGTACCTTTAGTTTTTTCTTTGGGAACGTATTTATGCGGTTAAGCCCTTTAACTCTTGTTCACATGTCACTCAAGCTGCTGATGTTTTTTTTTTTTTTTTGAGGAACTTTATCCCGCTTGAGTCTTGAAACTAGAACGATTCATCCCTTCAAGCGATTTCAGAGTTCTCAATATTTTCGTCATCACATCTGGTGTTTCAACCTCAACTTAATTGACTTTGTATGATGGTCTGCTTATGAGTGCCACCGTTTCACGTGTTTGTGCATTCGCAACAGTTTCAGCGAATGTCAACTTTGGATTTGCATATGTCTCTCGCTTGGTGTACACGTCTTTTATTC